AATTACTCTTAACACTGTGCATCTGCATTCCCTATTACGCTCAGGTTTTGGCTTATAAGAACTGTTTTATCCTAAATTAAGTCCTGTTGCAGAATCCTCAGCACTTCCCTTAGGCTGGCCAGTATCTTTCTGCTTTCTGGCACCTTATGAATAGAAGAGAGTTAGGATCCGTGTCTTCTGTTTAGCTTACAAGATAGAAGCTTTTTACAGAACTAGGAGTTGAAACTCAGTATTGCCACGCAGCTCGAATCTCCAGCCCATGTTGCCGAGGAAATGTAAAAAGATCTTTCTATTCTAGGAAGTGACTCTTCACATATTTGTGCGATAGCAGCTGCTGCAGAAATCACATAAAATGACAACGTGCTCCTGCCACCTTGTTTTACCCTCTTCTGTGACTGTCCTGCTTGCCAAGTGAAGCAGCATGTGCTCACCTAATTGCAGGCAGTATCATAATACATATGCATAAAGGAGCAAAATTAAAGTTGCTTTGGCAACATACATTCTGTTCTTTCTTAATTTTTGAATTCTCGATCCTAGGCAATTATTTTTATCATGTCTTTCCATATGCAATTTCCAAAGTGTTACCAGAGTGCTGTGTAGCACACCAGGTGCGGGGAGGCAACACAGAAAGCTTTGATGCTCCTGATTCATTGTGTCACTGCTCCAGAGGGACACAGTGACTGCCTTGTGCACCCCCAGCTCTCGGGAGCTTTGAGCATACCTGGTCCCAGGGATCACCACTGTCCCTTCCCAAGCTATTCTGTATTTCTATGACCATGAAGTTGAGTTGGCTTCTCACTTATCTTTGATATGTCCATCCCTAGTTTTTAGGCTGGAACAAGTGTCATCAAGTGCCATTGCTGAGACAGGAGCTTCTTGGCTGAGCTGGACACCAGCACTCTTCAGGCTCTGTCCTTCTGAGGATGCTGCTGAAGGCCAGGCTGAGCGTGTAAGGAGGGGTGTGCACAGAGTGTCTGAGCCCACCTTTAGTCCTGTGCTGTCCTTGTCCTCCTGCCTCTGTCCCTTTCAACTTCTCTGAGCCACCAGCACCCTGGAGGTGATGGAGGGCTGGAGCACTTCCCCATGGCTAGGCAGAGGGAGGGAGGGCAGCCTCAGAGGGTGTCGGACCCGTAACGGCCATGGGTGTAATGCATCTGCTTGTATCTTCTCCCTGCCCTTGGTGCCCTTTTTTCCATGGTGCCATGTGGGTCATTAGCCCAGGGAACAGTTTCTCACTGTCTCTTTCTCCTTTTGTTTTCCTCCTTCCTCATTGCTTCCAGTCTTGGTTTACTGCCAAACAGCCTCTTGTGAAAGGGCCGCCTAATTAACCCTGTGCTAATTAACAATTTAAAATTACACAGCACGGCTGTTCATATTTAATTCTCGGGAAGCCTGGGCAACAGCAGGAGCCCCCTCCTCCCTCCCTCTCCATCCTTGCCGCCTGTGCCGCTGCCAGCATCCCCAGGGGAGGAGGCAGCCTGGTGCTGCAGGCCCGGGGTGCCCAGAAGCCCCCAGCTTGTCAGAGGGTGCAGGGCATTGCTTTAGTGCCAGCCACTCCTTGGTGGGAGTGTTGCTGGAAGGTGGCACATCTGTCCCTGCAAGGATGGGGCCAGGGGCTGGAAGGAGGTGACGGGGGAATGTGGGGATTGACTCCCTGCATGTTTTGCACAGCATGGCTGTGCAGCCGCCAGCCCTGGTTAGTGGGAACGGAAGCGTGGGACACACTAGTGCTGTGCTGGCACCTGCACCTGCCATCCAGGTGTGGCTGGGCTCTGGGCCACCATATCTGCCTGACGGAGCACTCCTGCCCCGCGGTCCCTGTGCTTCCCCGGTCGGTCCCACATCAGCTCTGAGGGGTTGCAAGGAAGGGGCAGGGGCTCGGGTGAGCCATGGGCCAGAGGCCAGGTGGCCACAGCAGTGGGAGCAACGGTGGGACACAAAGCCGGAGAGGGGACTGGGAGAGCCCTTCCATGCTGCTGGGGCGATGGGAGCGCAGGGAGTCTCCGGCACTCAGGCTGTTCTCTCTGTAACTGGAGTTCATTGATTTTACGGGAAACCATGTTTACAGACAGAGTGCTGATCGACCTGACGAGTTGACTTCTGCCTCCTTAAGTAAGAACTACCTTTTCTTATTGACTGGCTGATAAACAGAGCGGAGTGGGCCGTGGGGGGGGGGGGCAAACAGGAGGTGTGGAGCACTCTGCAGTCCGTCTGTCCTCCCAGACTCTCCACGTCTCATGCAGGTCTCTTAGGGGTGCTCTGGGGTGGAGGAAGATGCAGGGCCCACGATAGCAGACTAATAACTGCATTGCGCTCCTGCTTAGAGCCTGGTTTGCTTTAGCAAGGAAATTGCTGTTTTCAGCTTAAAAAGATGATTCCTGCAGCTCCTGTGTGAATAGAAACAAATACTTCCATCCCTCATCCTCCCTCAGCATCTCCCTACAGGAACAGCTGTGGTGGTAACTGAACAGGCAGGAAGAGCTTGGGTTTGTGCAGGGGCTCAGCCTGTGTTCGGGGCTTGGGCTGGCCATTTTGGCTCTGAGCTTTTGCACCTGCCCTGGAAGGGCTTCTCCTTCACGTCGATGAAAGGGAGAGAAGATTCCTTTGGCGCAGCTCCTCCTGAGCTGGTTAACTTGGAGCAAGTGGAGGAGAGCTGTTAAAGAGAGCCAAGGCAGAAAAGCCAACCAATTAATTGGAGCGCGCGGGTCTGCCTGGCCGGGCCGGGCCGGGAGAGAGATTGGCTTTCCTGTCAATAAACAAGTCCCCAGTGCAGCATCAAAGCCGCAGTCCTTTATCAATCGCGGCCTCCTCTTCCCGCATGTTCCTGTAACTTACCAAGCATTTATTACATTGATTTTCCAATCAGGCTGTTAACCCTCCCGCCCCTCCAGCCCTGCTAACCCTTCTGGCCCGGCTGTCAGTCAGGCATCTCCTGCCAGTCAGGAGTTCTCAACAGCAGAGCCACTGTGACTCTGGCTGTGTCTCACCTGGCTGTGTGTCCCGCGAGCTGGCCATGCAGGCCAGCGCAACACTCTGCAATGTCTAAAACCATTGCTGGGTTGTTGTCTCGTGTCGCATTTTGAAGTCTGGGTAGATATTCCCAAAACTTCACTTGGCAGAAGTATGAGCCTTACGGAATTTCTTTTTCCTCATTTTCCCCCAAATGAATGTGTTTTGGTTTAATTTGGGTTGCAGTTACCAGTACAGCAGTAGTAGTTAGGCGGAGAGAGTAGCCGTGTTGTGGGAAGGTGAATGTGCTGCCTCAGTGCAGAAGGATCTGGGATGAGTTTGAGGAAAACACAAAGCTAAGGACAAATATTCAGTGGAGAGAGCCGGTGCAGTAGAAGCCGTTGCACAGCTGGAGCGTATTTTGGCTCAGGGGAGCAAAACTGGCTGATGAAGAAGTCAGAGCCTTTTGGCATCAGGATTCTGGTGCTCTTCCTTCTTATCCTGCTCAGTGCACCAGTTTACTGTTATTGCAGATCAAACCCCTTTTTATTCCCAGTGCAACTGCAGAGGCAGCTGCGTATGACATCCAGGGAAGGTGGGACTGGAGGTGCTGCAGGGTAGCATGGAGTGTGAATGCAGTGGATGATGGCTCGTTGTGCCTCTGTGTCCTTCGGTAGGCATCCTCTCACGTGGGCTATGAGAGTATTACTTTGTCTTCAGGGGTAGTTGTAAATGCTTTTTCCTTAAGCTTCATCAGAAGTGAAATATAAAGGGAAGGTACAAACATGTGAGGGAAATTAGCGGAAGTGTGTCTGGCTTTGTGTAATAAAGGAAAATAATCCGGGAGATAGTGAAACCAGAAAAAAAAGGGATAACACTGAATGTCGCTCCATTTTTTTGCTTGAACTAATTCAGGTGGTTCACTCAGTGCTGCTGTGGCACAGTACCTGCTTTGCAACCGCTCCTGTCTTTTCTGGCAGGTTTCCAGTCCTCTTCATACTTTTTGTATGAGCCGAAAAGGGCTCCATTAGGATTGCAGGGCTCCATTAGGATTGCAGTGTTGGAGTCGTTGGCCAGATATAGCAAAGTGAGTTGCAGTGACAGGGAGCCCGGGATGTCAGCCATGCTCAGTAGCCCAGGCTCATTGGCCACCCTGCAGTCGGCAGGAGTCCTCCAGTCTTGTTGATTTGGCAGAATGGAAGTAGTGGGAAGGGTGTCCTCCTTCTTCTCCTTCTCCTCCAGGACCTGCACCCGCCATTTTCCTCCGGGGGTGAGGGGAAGCCATCCATGTGCAGAGGCTGTCCCTTGCAGGATCTCCGGGAACTTCCTGGAGCATGGTGGGCTGACCCCTTTCCGATCTACAAGACAGACCCTTGTCAGATCTGGAATTTCCTGTTTGGTTTCTCTCCTGACGTCTCTCCATTTAAACTCTCTCCAGAGCAGAGCAGTTAAATCTCCTGTGCATACCAAGCGCTGTTACTCTAAAATCGCTGTGAGTTGCTCTGTGTCTTGAAGTCTCCCACAGAGGTGCACATGTGGTAATGCTGGATCTGTGCTTCCCAAGCCACTAACAGAAAGGAATCACCAAAAAACCTAGCATCTGGCTTAAGGAAACAGAGAGTATGAGTTTAACGAAGTTTAAAACCCCAGCACTGTTTTGTTGTCATGTCTTTTTTTTTTGTTTCTGTCAGAAGCTTTTCTGTGATATTTTTGTTTGTTTTTTGAAGATCCACGGCCTTGGGAGTGGCAGTACAGGTCCTACAGTCTTTCTGCCACCCGCCTTTGGGGAAGCTGCTGGAGAGGTTTTTGCCACCTTCTAGACACCTTCAGTTCACCTCTTTTCTTCCTGCTGCCATTGTGTTTCTATTGCTCATTCCCAGCTGTGCGTTTCCCAAGGCCGGTCTGCCTGTCCCTGGCGCCTGTCTGGGTGCACCAGACCCCACTTTGGTCCTGAGGAGCAGGGTTGGCAGCTCTTGTAGTGGTGGGGTCTTTATGGGAACGGTCTCTCCTCCCTGACTCACCTGCCTCTCTCCTTCTCTCCCTGTCCTCAGGTCCGAGCTGTACCGGGTGCAATGAGCGCTCCGTGCCGGCCCTGCCATGGAAGGCTGTGACTCACCTGTCATCCCTGGGAAGGACAATGGGTGCAGCATCCCTCAGCACCAGCAATGGACTGATCTCAACAGCGCCCATCTCCCCGACCCGGCCGGCAGCATGGAGCAGCCCGCGGCGGAGAGCCGCGGCCCCCTGGACAGCCTGAGGGTCCCCTTCCCCGAGTGCGTCCCCGAGAGCAGCACGGCGGCGGGTCCCGGCACCGAGCCCACTGGCAAGGAGGTGAGCTGCGGGCAGTGCGCCGCGTCCTTCGCCGGCCTGCAGAGCTACATGGAGCACCGCTGCACCGGCACCCGCCCACCCCCACCGCTGAGGGGGGAGAGCGGGAGCGAGAGCAGCGAGGACGGCGAGGAGGAGAGCGACGTGGAGAACCTGGCTGGCGAGATCGTCTACCAGCCCGACGGCTCAGCCTACATCGTGGAGAGCCTCAGCCAGCTGGTGCAAAGCGGGGGCACCGGCGGCAGTGGGACTCTCCCCTCGCTGCTCCCAAACTCTCTGCCCAAGCAGGGAGAACCCTCCGCCGCCGCTCCCGTCTACCCACAGATCATCAACACCTTCCACATAGCCTCATCCTTCGGGAAGTGGTTTGAGGGCTCAGACCAGGCCTTCCCGAATACCTCAGCCCTGGCGGGCATCAGCCCCGTCCTGCACAGCTTCCGCGTCTTCGATGTGCGACACAAAAGCAACAAGGATTACCTGAACAGCGACGGTTCTGCCAAAAGCTCCTGCGTATCCAAAGATGTTCCCAACAATGTGGACCTGTCCAAATTTGATGGCTTTGTGCTCTATGGTAAGAGGAAGCCCATCCTGATGTGTTTCTTGTGCAAGCTCTCCTTTGGGTATGTCCGCTCGTTCGTGACCCACGCCGTGCACGACCACCGAATGACTCTGAGCGAGGAGGAGCGGAAAATTCTTAGCAATAAGAACATCTCCGCTATCATCCAAGGGATAGGCAAAGACAAGGAACCCCTTGTCAGCTTTCTGGAACCAAAAAACAAAACCTTTCAGCACCCTCTCGTTTCCACAGCTAACCTCATAGGCCCTGGACACAGTTTTTATGGTAAATTCAGTGGCATTTGCATGGAAGGCGAGCAGCCCCTCCAGGCTGGGGCAGCCAGCGGAGCGGAGCCACCGTCGGCAACAAGTGTCCTGGCCCCCGGTGCGCTCCTCAACCTGGGTGGGCTGACCAGCTCGGCTCTGAAGACTCCCATTACCTCAGTCCCCCTGGGCCCACTGGCTTCCAGTCCCACCAAATCCTCGGAGGGAAAGGACCCTGGGGTGGCAGAGGGGGAGAAGCAGGAGGGGGGCGACCAGGACAGCCTCTCGGAAAAGGCAGAGCCGGTTGAGGAGGTGGAAGAGGAGGAGGAAGAGGATGTAGAGGAGGAGGAGGAGGAAGAGGAGGAGGAGGAAGAGGAAGAAGATGAGGATGATGAGGGTTGCAAAGGACTGTTTCCTAGCGAGTTGGAGGATGAACTGGAGGACCGGCCCCAGGAGGACACTGGGGCTGTGGCAGGCAGCGGCAGCAGCAAAAAGGACCTTGCTCTCTCAAACCAAAGCATTTCTAACTCTCCCTTAATGCCTAACGTGCTCCAGACCCTGTCACGGGGCACAGCTTCTACTAGTTCTAATTCTGCTTCTTCCTTTGTCTTTGATGGTGCAAACAGGAGGAATCACTTAAGCTTTAACAATGAGGGCGGCGGAGCCAGCGTGGCCGAGGGCAGCAGGAGGCTGGACTTTATCGATGAAAGTGCCAATAAAGACAATGCCACAGCACCAGAACCAAATGAGAGCGCGGAGGGCGAGGACGGGAGCTACATCTCCCATCACCAGCATGCTGGCCCCCTCTGTGAACTTGGGGGTGGGGAGTGCCCTTCGGGGAGCGGCGTGGAGTGCCCAAAGTGCGACACGGTCCTGGGCTCCTCGCGGTCGCTGGGTGGCCACATGACTATGATGCATTCTCGCAACTCGTGTAAGACACTCAAGTGTCCCAAGTGCAATTGGCACTACAAGTACCAGCAGACGCTCGAGGCGCACATGAAGGAGAAACATCCTGAGCCGGGCGGTTCCTGCGTCTACTGCAAGAGCGGGCAGCCGCACCCGCGGCTGGCGCGGGGCGAGAGCTACACCTGTGGTTACAAGCCCTTCCGCTGCGAGGTCTGTAACTACTCCACTACTACCAAAGGCAACCTCAGTATTCATATGCAGTCCGACAAGCATCTCAACAACATGCAGAACCTGCAGAACGGAGGGGGAGAGCAAGTCTTCAGCCACACCGCGGGGGCGGCAGCAGCAGCTGCGGCAGCTGCGGCGGCCGCGGCCGCCAACATTGGTAGCACCTGTGGGGCCCCCTCCCCCACCAAACCAAAAACCAAACCTACATGGCGGTGTGAGGTGTGTGACTATGAGACCAACGTAGCTAGAAACCTTCGGATTCACATGACCAGTGAGAAGCACATGCACAATATGATGCTGCTTCAGCAAAATATGTCCCAAATCCAACACAACCGGCACCTGGGCCTCGGCAGCCTGCCGTCCCCTGCTGAGGCCGAGCTCTACCAGTACTACCTGGCACAGAACATGAACCTTCCCAACTTGAAGATGGACAGCACTTCTTCAGATGCACAGTTCATGATGGGGGGGTTCCAGCTCGATCCCACCAACCCCATGGCAACGATGACTCCATCTCTAGGTGAGGCTGAAGGGGTTTCCACCATGTCCATGTGTGAGGGAGGGATTGTGATTTACTTTACTCCAAACCCCTTCTGCACAGACAGGGCGCTGTGTGCCAGACCCCTTCACGGGCTCTGTGGCCCTCTGAATTGCCTCTGTGGCGGTCGAGGATGGAGGCTGCGCAGTCCAGACCTCTCATCTGTGTTCCCTCAGTGCAGTTTTTTTCTCATGTAGGGAAAACATGTGGCTTACCTAGTACTTTTTCAAGAGTTTTTGTAGGGAGCTAATGTAATGGCAGATAACGGGTTACTGCTGCCATGCATTGAATGTTCCTCCTTGTCATGGAAAGCATCCTTACTACAGTATTTCCTGAGGACTTCTCCTGGGTTTGGTGAGGAGTGTGAGTAGTTTGCTGGGTGGCTTTGAGAGAGGGTCCAGTCGGCTGCTGGCATTCCCAAAAGCAAGTGTGGGGTTGGTTTGTTCTACACTGTGTTGCCCTAAGAAGACAAGGTAAGCAGGTTTGAGAGGGATGATGAGTTCAGTGGAAGGGGTGGTGTTCCTCTGCTGAAGAACTGATGTTCCTCTGCTGCCAGCGTGAGAGACAGGATCAGAGGCTTTTGGAGCTCAGAGCCCCTCCTTACTGAAGCAGAGGACTGTTGTGAGAGAGAAGTTGGAAATGATTTAACTGAAGCTTCTAAAAGTACATGACAGGACCCTGGATGTCCAGTACCTGCCTGGAGAGTGGTTTGTGAACTGTGCACTTGGTGGTTGCAAATCTCACGCTGAGGGTTGTGGAGGGAGGCCCTGCCTGTACCAATAAGCAGCTGGCCCCTTAGACTCGGATACATACACTGTGAGCTTTGCAAGAAGTGAAGCAGAACTTCCCCATTTTTACACTTTGGTCCAAAACTGGATTTGAGCAGAACATTAATAATTAAGAACTCTGCTTTTGTTTTTTTCCTGCATGTTGAGTTCAGGAGAGAGTGATTTAAAGAGCATTTCCTTCTTGGCAAACAGGTTGCAACATAGGAAACGAAAAGTTAAGGAAATAACATCTCTTTTTGGTTGACTGAGGAACTGTTTACCTGAAGGTTCCTTTCATAGGATTGTTAAGCTGAGCTATGACATCAGATCAAGGTAAAGTACCAAAAATCTACAGGAGGAGATAAATGTCTTAAAAATGGAAAAAGAGAGCAAGGTGGAGCAGAGCTCCTGGTTGGTCTCTGTGCTTTAGCATAAAAACTCATTAGAAAGTTTCTCTCTCTGCATCTTCCAGGTGGCTCTGGTGTGAGTAGGAGCTTGTTGTGCTCAGTTGCTGTTGAGTGAGCAGAGTTGAGCTTTGGTTTGAAGAGTCCATCTGACAAACACAGGGTCCTGCTGGCTTTCCTTGACATGATCTCACGCTCACACTAATTATTGTTGTCTTTACCTTGTCAACGCTGGTTTTAGACGATTCTTCACCATTCTGAACTCTCGGACAAGAGATGAAATCTAATAGTGCAGGAGTGGCACTTTGCAGGAGGTTTTTGTACACACCATGTTCTGCACTGTTGCCGACTTGTGATGGCAGTGCGGTGACCTCCCCGTGATGCTGCCATCACCTGGGCTTGTGACTGTTGGCCTTTGTTTTACTTGCTCACGTACTGTGTGAAGTAAGATTTGCTTCTCCAGGTGGACAAGAAAAAACAGAATAAAGTGTTAATGCTGTTCTTGAAGTGACCATGGAGACTTTCAGTGTGGTGCTACAGAATTCTTCATCTGAAAGTCCACAGGGGTTTTTTTGCCACCTTTGATGGGCAGAGGGCTGGATGATCCTTCAGCAGGTGGGTAACAAGGGCCATTGCAGTCCTTTCCCAGCCTTTCACGTTGGCTGCAATGACTTTCCTTCAGCTCTGGGGCTGACCAGCAATGCAGAGGAGTGGGCGAAGGGACAGCTGCGTGTTGTTTCGCTGTGTGTTTGTGGGTACACATGCACTGGGAGCAGCTTATGTTCTGCTCCATGTTTCTCTTTTGATAAGAATTCAGCCTTTCTGACCTCTTTCTCCCTTTCTTCTTTGTGCAGTGGGTGGAGAGATCCCGCTGGACATGCGGTTAGGTGGTGGACAGCTGGTGTCCGAGGAGCTCATGAACTTGGGTGAGAGTTTCACGCAAACAAACGACCCGTCTCTGAAGCTCTTCCAGTGCGCTGTGTGTAACAAGTTCACTACAGATAATTTGGACATGTTGGGCCTCCACATGAATGTGGAGCGAAGCCTCCCCGAGGACGAATGGAAGGCGGTGATGGGGGACTCGTACCAGTGCAAGCTCTGCCGCTACAACACGCAGCTCAAGGCCAACTTCCAGCTTCACTGTAAGACAGACAAGCACGTGCAGAAATACCAGCTAGTGGCACACATCAAGGAGGGGGGCAAAGCCAATGAGTGGAGGCTCAAGTGTGTGGCCATTGGGAACCCGGTCCATCTGAAATGCAACGCGTGTGACTACTACACCAACAGTTTGGAGAAGCTGCGTCTTCACACCGTGAACTCGAGGCATGAGGCCAGCCTGAAGCTCTATAAGGTAAGAGTTGGCTTTGCTTCATCTTCCTTCATTTTCCATGGAAAATCTATGTTGAACCTGAGTGGACTGTGATCCTTTGGAGATGAGTTGCTCAGAGCTCTCCGCTGGGACCCAGTCTCACTGGTGGCACAGCTCTTCAGCCTGTGTTCTGGTAGCGACTGGGGTTGTCCAAGCCTTAGGCCAGTGGGTGTTCATGTCACAGTGATTTAGAGGGAGCTTGTGTGTCTTACAGCACTGCAGATGTGATACTTCTGAACAGAAATTGAACAGTCACTCTTGAAAATGTTGTGCAAGGCGGCATTTGCCAGTGATTTGTTGGCTCTTTCCCATACAGAGTTTGTCACTTTCATGGGCGCTCAGAGGCTTTTGCTGCGGTCAGAGTGTGTTGGTCCTGGCGCTGGACGGATGGAGTAGGGAAGGGGAGGGATGGAGGGGGTTGCTGTTGCTGTGCTGTTATGCTCTGTGTACGTTAGTGCTGGGATCTGTAAGCGAAGCATTGCTGGAGGCTGGGAAAGGGAGGAGGCTGGAAGAGAAGCTGTGTGCACGAGCGTGGCCATTCACATGGAGGCATTGCAGGTTTTCATCCACAGTGGCGTTTGGGCTGTCGCTCCCATCTTGTTCTCTTTAATTTTCCTCCCACCTCCCCTCATTCCATGGTGTCTTTATAACCATCTTCTCTTTCCTGTCTCATTCCTCCTGTCCCCAACCCCCTCCCCTTGCTGGCCTGAACCCTGTGGGCTGTAACCCAAGAGGAGCTCCGGATACAGTAAATAGTCCTTTCACTCGTGCAGCAGAATTGCTCCAGACGTTTCTATTGATTTTCACTGGACTTAAAGCTTCACCTTTTTCTCTAATCATCCCATAATGGCTTTAGTATGAACAATCAGGTACGAATTGCCATAAATCTCAGCAGCCGCATCCCCTCCGTTCACACACGCTCTCTCGCTCATTGTCTGCTCATTCCTCACAGGTATTTTTATATTCTTTCTGTCCTCATCCCTTTCTTCCTGCTTTCCCCAAATGTGCTGAGGTTTCTTTATATGCACACAGACTGTAGCTTGTGCTTTTTAATTATTTCTTTGAAAATTTTCTTTATGTAATGGGAACTTAAGACTTGACATTGAGCTGTACAGTGCCCACCCACATCACAGTGCAGACACATTAGATTTCAAAACTCCTGAATTTTTTCCTAGTAAGGAGCAGTTCCAGAAAATTCAGAGAGGTAAAAGACAACCAGGAGCATCATAGAAGGTTTGCCTTGAGCTGTGGTTGTTAGACCTTCCAGGAGGTGGTGGGGAGCTGCTCAGAGGGGGGGTTGTGTTTCTCTGAGCTTGCTCTTCAGACCAGGATTGCTGTGACAGTGACTGTTCCATCATGAGCTGGGATCAAGCCTCACCCAGCAGAGTCTTGCTCCAGGAATGGTCAGGTCTGCACCTATACCTCTGCTCTCCAATGTGGCAGGAGAGAGTTACACAGCTTGGTAACTGGTGGTGGGAGAGTCCCAGTGAGTCTTCAAAAACCCAGCTGAGGAACTGAATCTCCTCTGTCTGTGGAGGTCAGTTTGGGGTACAAGAGAGTTGTTTGAAAGCTGTACTGTGCGTTTTAATACATAATATTGTTCTTTTAAATATACATTGCAAAGGTTTAAAAATTCTGTATCCAGACCCTTAATCTACAGTGGATTCCACTAGGGAAGAAGCGGTTGGGGTACTAGAATTTTCTCACTCTGAGGGGAAGGAAAAGGGAAAAAAGAAGAGGTAAGGGAAAAAAAATTCTACCAGAGTTGGGGGACAGGTGCAGGTGCTTGTAATAAAGATTCCTGGAATGTTTCCCTCGGGCAGGTGAGGAGGAATTGTCAGTTTTCAGATTCCTGAGAGGGCTGGGCAGTTCCAGAGCTGCTACAAGCCCTGTGCTGCCTTTGACAGCAGTGAAACACCAGCTGAGTTTCAGAGTAATGGATTCCCTTGGATGCTCTGTATATTGGCCTTCTAGTATGGCTGGATAAAGCCTGGAGCAGGGGACAGTGGAGGGGTGGATTGCTCCAGCATAGCTGGAGTCAGGGTTTGACTTAATAGAAAAGCTTCTCTCTGGATCAGGCATGGATCAGACAAGCTCCAGCGCAGTTCTCCAGTCCTCAGAGCAGCTGTAATGCCATATCTCCTCTGATAGCTGAAGAGATGCAGCGGGAGTGGGGGGAGTTCACAGAATGGTTTCTCTTCTCTCAGGCCTTGGTGTGGTCTGCAGTAAATTGAGATTGATTGGATGTTATTTTTCCTCTTGCTAATGTAATCCATTAGCCTGGCACATGCATAATCAGTTTAGAGCACAGTTAACTGGATGTAATCGAGTTCTTCCCTGCCTGCTGGAGAAAATCCTCTCCAGATGCTGCTGGGTGAGAGCGCACACTGGGCTTATCACACACAATCCTCCTTATTCTGCTGCTTTTGCCATTTTCCTCCTAAATCACATGTTATTGGCTGCTTGCATTGCCCAAGAGCCACTTCTGTCAGTGTTACTTGCTGCCAAAAAATGTGATCTGGAGACACTGTCAGCCCATAGTCGGGTGAAGCTTTTAGTCTTCTCCTGCAGCAATCCCAGTGCCAGGGGAGAAGGTCTGGTCTTCTGCTGCCATCTTCGTCCTGCACATTGCAATAGCTTCCATCAGGCCTCTTCCCTGTGGGGGGTGAGAGGACAGGGATGGCAAGAAACTGTAAGGGTCTGGTAACCTTTCCTTTATTGTTGTATTCTCCCAATTCCTTGCTGTCCCCCTAAAGTCCTACAACTAAACTGGAAATCCTGTTGTTTATCCGGCACTTGCTGAGGCACCTATGCCTCTCCCATGACTGATGACCTCCTCAGGTAGCCAGGGGGATTTTTATATCCTGAAGAAGCTAGAGCACTGTTGTCAATATGTGGCATCCCATTTTTGAGGTGGGTGTTCTGGCTTGAGGTAGATGAAGGGTTTGAAGACCCTTCCTCCTGTAGCTGGGGTGGCCCAATGGACGTGGAACAGCCAGGGCTGGGTGACCGGGGTGGCTGTGAGCAGAGGCAGAGACAAGTGCAGCTCCCTGGAACAACAGCCAAGGCTTGTCTCGTCATGACCACAGAGCATGAGACTAGGCGTGGAGCAGAGCAGCACTCCCCACATCTGGAAGAGGTCGGGCACGAGTTCCCAGTGTCTATTCCACAGGTGGAATTTCCAGAAGGAATTAATCTCTTTGAGCAAGAGCCAGGTTTGGACATTTCCTACAACTTCCTGAAAATGTCTAGTTCAAAACATGCAGCTCAGAAGAAGTTTAAACAAAGAACTACTGAAGAAACACGCTGCTGGCCAGACTGCCAGCAAGCGCCTTCAAGGAGTTCATTCAGTGTCTTCCTTTCAGTCTTTCCAAGTGCTGAGTTCACTTTTTTAGGGAATAGGAAGTCTGAAGGAGAGAGTTTGGATTACATGGTACCCTGCATAGGGGCTCTTTGTAAGCTAGAGATGCAGAGTGTGCAGGAGGATGACTCCTTATTATCAGTGCTTGTGGTGCTAGCGGTGACAGAACTCTGGATCTGTGCTGACTCAGACAGAAACAAAGCTGATCTGTAGAAAGGGAAAGAGGAGGTGCAACTGCACGCCCATCACAAGGTGGTGGGTCCCCAGTTTCACCGTGGAGCAGTGTGTCCCATCCTGCCTCTCCTGCAGGAGCACGTATCTCCTTTTCTGGCCTCAGGATGCTCAAAGAATCAACTCAAAGAAACTTGATGGAAAATCCCCAGAAAGTTTTAATCCCAGAGGATTAAACTTTGGAATATTGTAGGAGATGTAGTTAAGGAATGATGATGATGATGATGCATTCAAATTCAACGTCCTTCCATAATAGAAACAGACAAAAAGAGCATTTAATGTAATGGTAACTAACTTGGAAGTTAAAACTATATGAAAATGGGTGAGCTGCTCTTGGAGACAGTGAAGGGTGTGATGTGTGTGGGTCACAGAGGAATTCCTGAAAACCACCTTAGGTGTTAAATGTAACTACCCCTGAGAAAACAGAGCTGGGGGAGAACCCAGCCAAAGTCCACAGAAAGTCCAAGGTGATCAAATAGGAAAGTATGTCATGGGGAGTAGGGAAAGGAAAAGGGAAGAGGCCTCACGGTATGGGGAGGGGAAGGAGGAGAGAATACTTCTTGCGTGTGTTTCAGAGCAGAACTGTAAGATGCCTCTGTATGTAGGATAAATCCCAGAGGGTGGTCTCATGTGGAGGTACCACGAAGGAAGAAGTCACTGGGGTTAGCAAGGCTCTGCACTGCAGAGTTCTGAGAAACCCACAGGAAGGGGCAGAGGCTCCTGGCAATAGTGTGGGCCAGAAACTGCAAAGCATTAAGTCAGCAAATGGATAGAAACTGTACTAGAAGGGTTCTAAGTAGGCATATGGATTAGGAAGGGGAAAGGCAGACTTTTGGAAGAGAAGGTTCTTGCAGCACAACCAGTTGTTCGAAGGAGTCAGCCAGGCTACAGGCAGGGCTGGGCTGGTCCACATGGGTGGAGGGTTCCCAGGGCCTTTGCCAAGATTCTTCATGAACAGATCTTTAGCAAATACATGGTTATTGTCACTGGGGAAGAGGTTTGGGCATGGGTAGTGAGGTGAAGGATGAGAAACAGAAGGTGGAATAAAAACTAACTTTCCACCATGAAGAAAAAGATTGAAAAGATGCAGGGGGGTTCTGTGTTCGTAAATGGTGTGAAAAGCAAGCTTAGAAATCATATAAGGTAATATCTATAATATAATATATATTATATATATATTACCTTATATGTTTACAGGTTTTTATATATTATATATATAGCAATACCTTATATGTATATGGACCACTTAGAGGTAAAGCTATGGCACTTGAAGAAGAACTTTACAACACCTTGTGCTTTCACAGGAACTGGTTGATTAAATTTGGTGTCACAGTGTTAGAGGGATGGAGGACAGACAGCCCTTGTGGGGTGGTCTGGGCTTCTCCTCCTG